ACTGTCACGCCTACGAGGCGGGGCGAGGGGAGGCGCCTGGGGACCCAAGAGCTGGATGGGCCAGTGCTCTCTCTGGGCGCTCTCTCGGTGCCGGGTCGCTGACCGGTGGAGATTGACTGTGCAGAGCTCCGGAGAACACCGCTGGACTGCGTTACACCTTCCCCAGACCCTGTGACCTACCCATTACTTAATTTGTGAGTTACGCCATTAAATAAATATCCTTTTAACTACGTGGAGTGGCCAAAATAATTTCTCCAATAGTGGCCCTAGTGATGAAGCCAGTGTCTGCCCTTCCAGGGCGAGTGTGTGCGGAACGTGTCTTTTCACGTGCTACCATATCAGTCACTTTAACAGAAAACCACACCCAGCCACACACCAAAACGTTTTTCTTCAAGAAACAAATTGCATGAATGCACAAAACTTACATGAGGAGGTCTTGGTTCTACCTTATTAATAATGGCTTTGTCTGCATGAGGTGAACCCAGGTTTACCAAGAGATCTGGGTAGCAATGGGGTGTTGACTGACCTTTGTATTTGTTGAAGCAGGAGGGCTGATAGAGAACTCTGAGGCTCGTGCCCTGTGCCTGCCCATTGGCATCAGGAACCAGGAGCCCTGAACACACGAGGAGTCATCAGCTGCCTGTGAACTGAACAAGCTGTGCTAACAGATCACTGCGCACCAGCACCATTTCTGTGTGGCAGGAACAGGATCTGTGAGATGCACACACAAGAAGGTACCGGTATCATGATGTAGAAACAGTCTGAAGTCAAGAAAGGCTCTGGGATAGCCTCAGGAAAGGCAACTCCAGTCAACCAGACCAAAGAAACCCATTATTTAGCTAATAATTCATGGTGCTGAGGAAATCAACCATCTTGAAACAACCAAATTAGATTCTTACCTGATGTCGTATACCAAAGCAACTTCTGGAAGCTTAAATTAGGGTTGAATGTCAAAATGGATCCAGAAGAAAGTGTGGTGTATAAGATATGCTGACAGCAAAGACGGCCAGGCCTGTTTCAAAATTAAAAACTATTGCGTGAGGTCTTCAAAAACAAACTGCCAACCTGAAAAACATGAGGGTCCACAGAACACCAGTTGGCCAAACTCCCACATGCTTCCAGAAATTACAGCTGGCACGTGAGTCCTGGCTCCATCCACGGCACCAAACCAAGAGCAAACAGAGACTTTGTTCATTCTTAAAACCAGGGAAGAGTAAAATCAAAGATGGAGCCGCCAGACTGGAGCTATTTCCCTATCACCTGCTGGAAATGGCTGAACCTTATCCACAGGGAACACACCTGACAACTGCAGTTCAAGGATTTCCAACGGCTCCTAACTCTGGGCCAGCAATTTCACTCCTGAGAAAGAACTTCTCCCTGCCCTCTCCCAACAGTAAACCAGAAAACATTCCACCAAGACAGAGAAGCCCCACGTAGATAGGTATTTAGTATTTAGTAATATGAACTCGATGTTCACCAAAACAGCCTGGTCATTCTGCAGGGTGGGAGAGGGCCGTTCAAATGTGGCTACAGTTCTGTCAGTCCAAAAGGCCGGGGTGCGAGACAAGATGTGGTGAGCCTGCACCCCTATTGCACCATGCACCCACAGAATTCTCTGGAAAGTAAGAGGCCACTGTGTCACCAACTCATTTGCAGTTTTAACATCAACAAGTAAGTATCACTTGAGCAAGAACTGGAGGAAACCTGCCGAGATGGTCAAAACAGCAGCAGCGAGAGAGCAAGGCCTCACTCTGGACGCAGTGGACAGGCAGTGGGGTCACACACAGCAGAGGGGACAGTGGTCCCTAGAGTGAAGGGAGGGCCCAGCATGGCCTTCTGGAAGGGAAGAGGCTGCCAGGCATAAGCTGGCTCCACTCTCTGGCGCCCAATGCTCTGGGACCCTGAGAGACAAGGAAGAGCCAGAGGGAGCTCATGCCTGCTCTCCTGGCACTTGGTGGCCTCAGGGGACAGAGTACCTTAATCTAGAAAGTGGAATGGGTGCATGGAGGACACAGCAGCTCAGATACAAGCAAGACTGAATGCAGCTTTTCACAAGTGCCATGGCCACCTTCCTAGAATAGTTGTTTCTTCGGGTAAGGTTTTCTACAGCCCAGCTGCAGAGGCTGGCTTTAAACACCTAGACCCCTGCTTCTGCTGTCCCAGCGCTGGGGTGACAGATGTGCACTATCATGCCCGGTTTGACTTTTGTTTTCAATCTATTTGAGGTAAGAACCAGGAAGCTGCCTGAGATTCGAAATCCGTTGTCATTCCAACACACCCTGGTGGGAACAAGAGGAACAAGCAGTGTTAGGCACTCACCAGCCCCAACAGAACACACCATGGCTAGTAGGAGACCGAACACTAACCATTGAACAAAACCGAGAGTTCCAGACTCCAGAGCAGGTGTGAAAGCACGGAGCTGCCAGCTGGGAGCCCTCAGCCTCCCTCAGGCCTGGCTCTGACACCCAAACCAGTGATCCAAGGAATAAAAATTCACTGACCGCTGCTTGCGATGACCTGAAAACCCTGGAAATAGCCTGAAGGCATCAGTAGGAAAAGGGTCAAAATTACTGTGCCTACCCGACAAGATTAAATATTACAGAGCGATGAATATAGTACACGTTACACGATTCCATTTAAAAGCAGTAATATTAGATAAATTCATAAAGGGGAGCTGTCTTAGGAATGTAAGCCCTGGCAGCTATCATGAGAGAGGGACATCGAGATGACGTGTTGGGCTTTTTAAGTATTACTTCGAAGTTCATGACTAGTAATTTCTAAAAGCTGCCACAATTGTACTACATAACCCCATGCATTACAACAGTGCCTTCAGAAACATTGCTCTGGGTTTACCCAAATCTAGAAGAGCTGCTCCGATGGAAGGAGGAGCTGAGAATGAGCCAGTGTGGTGCGGACACCGAGCTCTAGGCTGGGTGTGTCCAGCTGTCTGTCTCAGGACAGACAAACTTCAACAACTATACTTTGGCAAAATCACATTTTTTTGTGTCTTGGACCGTGGAGTCCCTCTGGTAACTAAGTCACGGCTATTAAATTTCCACAGATGACAAGAATCTAACATACCAGGTAGTCTCCATGGGTCACTACGCATGTATGACAAGAGCTAAGAAAGCAACTGGCAGAAATGTGAAGTTTCAACATAAAAACGTGACTCTTACACTCAGGTACGCAGGCCTGCTACCATTGGAGGGCAGAACGTGGCAGTCTCTGCTGCACAACTGCCGCCCATCCAGACGCTGAGGCATGGGGGTTGCCTGTGAAGATGACCTCACAGTACAACTGTCAACTCCATAACATTAGAGAGGCCCCTTCTGTCAGTGGCAGGACAGCCAGGGTGTATTCACAGGACTCTAAGCAAAACTGTGTCATCTCGAGATGGTGGGCAGGACTATCCTACCATTATACACAAGAAAAGGACGCAGCCTACCTCCCATAAAGACATACGAACTGGAGACCAGCAGGACACAGCGTATGGGTAACAACGGTCACCTCCGGGTTGTGAGAATGCTCAACCTGAGTTCTGTTCCAGTTGCTTCTCTAATGATGCTGTAGAAGAAGCAACCCAGTCATCCTCATGGGGACCCAATGAATTCTGTACACTGCAGGAAAGAGATGAATTCTATCCAATTAAACGTTCCAGAAGATTACAGGCATTTAATTCTTCTACAAAGTTACAGATAACCAAATACATGCCTTGAAAAATTCATTTGGATACGGCTTTTTTAGGTGTGCCGTTGGCCTGTGAGGACCCCGGGGTGCATTGTGACAGGCACAGAGGGAGAAAGCGACTTTACCCACTGCCTCGGTTTTCATATTGATAGAAGAGTCAGACATGTTGGCAAATTATTAAAAAATAAGGAAGCAAATGAAAGAGTCACACGATGAGCCAAAGATTAGGATTAGCCTAGTCTGTGCATTCAAGTTTCAGCAAGGGACAGAGGGTACAAGGTCAGCCCCAGTGCCTTCCGACCAGCTTCTAAACAGTGCAAGTTGTTAAGATGGTTGCTTCATTTGTAAAGACAAAAACTAGAGCCTGGAATCCCCAATGCTTCAGACACGATTACGAAAGACTGGTACTGGGAAAGCTGGAGCAATAACTTACCACTGCACCTGCAGCAGAAGGAATTCACCGCAGGAGAAGGAAGGCCACCTGTGCCCACAGATCGAGCCCAGGCATACGCAGCTGAAGAAAACTGAGAAGCGACTCCAAGTAACTTATCAGTTATGGTCAGACTTCCACGGCTCAAGTCCTTGTACATCACATAGATCTTGGTCTTGATACTTAAGAGGACAATAAGGAGACGAGGTGTGACAGAACCAGTCACAGCCGGCCCTCAGAACTACACAGACCCTGCAGGGTCCTCAGGCCAGAGACGGAGAACGCGGAGAGTGGGACAAGCAATTAAACTCTCCCAGCCTAGCCAGTCATTACAGAAACGGAGATTAAGACAAAGCACTTGAGGTCTGAGGATGTAACTCAGTGGTAAAGAGTATCTGCCCAGGGTTTGTTTTTTGTTTAAAACAACAATATAGACTTTACAATGTTAAATTTGGCAATGATTTCTTAGATAGGACACCAAAAGTGCACACAAAGGCAAACACACATTACGAAGTTCAAAACTTAAATCTGCGGCTGGGAAGATGGCTGCCTGGGTAGAGGCACTTGCTGCCACGCCTGGCAGACAATTGCGTTCAATCCCTCATGTCCACAGGGTGGAGGAAAGAATCTACTCCCGCAAGTTGTCCTGACTTTCAGGAGTGCTGGCACAGGCATGTCTAGATGAGCGAATTCATGCACAAAAACAATACGTGTAACTATTACAAAAAAGGAAAACTCAACAGAACAGGACAGAAGGCTACTTGATGGAATGGGGAAATGCCAGCCAAATTGTGTAAGAGTTAATGTTCAGAATACAGACAATTCCTACAGGTCAACAATGGTAATAAATCCACAACCTTTTAAACATGAAAAGGACTTGAATGGGCATTTTCCAAGAAGTCTACATGATCAATACGTACATGGAATGGAAGACCACAATGAAATGTCACCTAACATCCACCAGGATGCTTGGGCTGTACCCTAAATAACTGAGTCTCAGGGAGACGTATCCATGCATCATCCCCACCACAGTGAAGTCCTAACAGCAATTGGCCCGAGGGTAGGAGCCACACCAATGTGCTCATCAGCACACCAATACCAAAAAATACACAAAATATCAATTATCTAGCTTGTATGAAAGCAGAGAAAATCACACACCAAGATGAACTGTAAAGACACTTTGTAAGCAAATCAACCAGTCAGGATAAATACTGGGTTGCAGTGGATAAAGCTGCTGATAGTGCAAGCCTCATGACTTGAGGGTGATCCCTGGGAGGAAGGAGAGAACCAACTCCTGCCGACTGTCTTTTGACTTCCATATACATGCCCCCACACCAAAATAAATGTAAAAAAAGACAAACTCTGTATGAATCTACGTACATGTGGAACTTAGAGCACTCATAGAAACATAAAGCAGGAAAGGGCTGGGAAGAGAGACCTCACGTTTCAGTCGCCGAGTGGGTAGTTTCAGGTTTTGCAAGGTCTGGAGGTCAGTTGATCAACTCAATCTGCTTAACAGCACTAAACTGTACACTTAGAAATGGCTAAAGCTTCTTCTGAGTGCATCTTACCACAAAGATGTTAAAGTAGCAACCAGTCAAACAGTACATTGAAAGAACCTGCTAATGATAACTATGAGAGCAAATGCTAAACACACAAAAAGAAGTTGGAATCATAAAACCATCCATGCACACTGGCCAGGCACACCACTGGGAGCATACATAGACACCAGCTTCACAGAACTATCCACAGAACAGTAACTCAAAAAAATCCCTCCTTCTGGACAGCAACTGAGCAACATGAGCCTAAAGTTAAGATTGACGGTCATTTCCTTCTAGAAACTGACTTGGATATCTCAAAGGAACAGCTAAGTATGATAAAGCTTGAGCTACAAGACAAAGCATCATTTCCTGCAAGGCAAACAATAGGTCAAGGCAGGTGGGTGAGCCAAGCGCCTGCCGCATGAGCCTGGTGGTTTCATTCCTACAGCCAACTCTTGAAAGTCATCCTCTGGCCTCCCCACATTCGTCAATAGTTAAATGAGATTGTTGAAATCAGCAGTCATGGAATAGAGCATTCGGTACCACCAAAAAGATACTCTGGCCCTCAGACAAGGTTTTCACTATGCATTATGGAAAGTAAGTTGCAGGACAGAAGTGAAGCACGGTCCCTTTCTGTGTACGTGCACATACAGCAGACGCCCAGGGAAAGAAAAACCTGAGACATGCCAAGAACACTTGTTAATGGAACATACACGAATTTTTCCCCATTTGATTTTTTGCAGAATTTACAGTAAATCCTCTTCATGCTTGAGAACTCATTAAAAGTACTGAGAGAGGTGTGGGAAGAGTTGAGCGCATCCTGTCCAAGGGCGGGTCCAGGATTCCGCTAGTTCTCGCTAGTTCTCGTCTCCTTGACAACCCGTTTGCATCCATCCTTGGAGATGAATACACAAATATCAACCTGTTGGAAGTACCCACATTTCTCTTCACCACCAGCAGTTAAGACACGGCTACCACCGAGGGTTAATGCTTCTGCAGCCCTTGGCGATGCCGACAGGTTGGCCCACATTAGAGGTCCTTTTGGTCTCTTAACATCCTAAGACAAACCAGGTGTCAGAGTTGAAGTGCGCCACCACTGCCAGGCGCACTTCAACTCGGTTGATCTTTTCAAATAAATAAAAAACAAAACCACCTTTGCTCTCTGCTCAGTTGCTTTTCATCCACGCAGGACCAGCATCAGCAACACAGCTCAACCGCTGCCCCCGGGGTTCAAAGAATGAGTCCGTACCCATTGAGGTGACATGGCCATCAATAACTCAGGACCCCAGGGCAAAGACCAGTCCTTGCAGGACATTGTGGCTCACATCTCACCTCCAACACTTGGGAGGCTGAGGGAGGACTGCTGTGAGTCCCATACCAACCTGGGCTGTCTCAAAACAAATAACGAAACCCAGACCAACAGCCCTCGAAATCTGCACACAGGACTGCTCGGCCTCTGGTTTTCTTGTCTCTACACCACTTTTAACATGGCTTGGGACAAACTCCTTACCAGTCTGCCACAGAACATAGAAAACCTTTTAATAGTATAAAAACCAAGGGTTCTGGAAAGGAATGGAGGTGCAGAAACCGGGTAAAAAGCCAGAAAAGGTTAGGGTAGACCAGACTAGAAAAGGCCGGCAGATGGGGCGTGGTGGTGCACACCTCTAATCCCAGCACTTGGGAGGTAGCTGCCAGTGGATCTGAGTTCTAGGCCAGTCTAGGCTACATAGTAAGACCTTGTCTCTGAATACGAAAACTAGTAAAAAGGAAGTGTGGGTAGAGAAGCTGCTCTCATCTGCAGCACCTACTCTAGGTAGTCTCCCAAGTCCAGACACAAAGCTCCTGAGACACCCCCATTCTGGCTTCTCAGTACAAAGGGAGAGGTCACTGAGGAGCTGGCAAAGCAGAGCCCCACCGCTTGCAAGGAAGACGGAAGACCACCACTGCTCACCCTTTGCTTGGTCCCTACCCCACCCCAGTTCAAGACTCCTCCTTCCCAAGACAACAGTTCACCGCAGAGTCACAGGCTGCCCTCGGCTTATAGCTAGCAGGCTCCAGTCCTACAAGGCTGGTAATGTTCTAGTCTAAGCTCAAAATCTGTCTAAGCAGCAACATTTCCCAGTTGTAATGAGACACTAACGCCCAATTATTCATGTACAGGTTGGCTCCCATGACGAATCCTACCCAAGACTAAAAATGTGTTCACAGGCATGATACAGTAACTTTAGTCATGTACCAAAAGATAAATGAAGCCCAACTCCTTAGGCAGATGAGAATTACAAGTTCACACCCAATTCTCAAGCCTGCACCAGCTTCCAAAAGAGTGAAGATATAAAAAACTCATACCTTGTTAAGGCTGTTTTCCAAAACAAAAAAACATACCGTTTGAAATACAAACCGGGAATGTTCTGGATTACTAAATTCCAAGTACTTCCTTACCTGGACACTCAACATCATTCTCCCATGTGACTCAGCATCACATCTGCAACCATTACCAGCTGCCAACAGTGAGCAGCCGTCTCTCCCTGCTAGTTGACAGCTGCTCAGACTAGTTAGTTCTACCAGGGTGGAGGTCACCTATTCTAACTGCATCAGTGACAGCTGGGGCAGGGAGTCTGGGCCTGACTGTGGTATGAAGTGACAGGGTCGAGAATGTAACACCATACAACAATTCTGAGGAGTTTCGATCTCAAACCTTTATTTTGCTGTAAAGGAGAAAATGGTTAGAGGCTGTGCACACTTCAGAACACTTCAGTACAAACAAGTGGGGGCTGTGACCCGCTGGTCCAGCTCTTTCCCCATTCCAACATGACCAACACTCCGCTGTTCCAATGACAGTGACCATTCCCGGTCACACCACCATTTTAAATTAGACCACACACATAAATAACATAAAACAGACAAAATCACCAACCCGGAAGACAAAGTCCCCAAGGTAACAGTCCTGGGGACTTGATTTTAAGGGAAAGACAACACAACACGAAGAGCCATTGACTGCAACTTCAGCACTTCAGACACGCAGGGTTTCCAGAGTTCATTTTTACAGAGCATCGTCTTAGTAAGATGTCCCCGGCAGCCCTGTTTGACTTTATTTCCCAAACTCATTTGACGATTACAGCGTCCCCTCTGCTCCGGGATGGTTTGAAAGCACCATGCAAGCTAAAATCACAATGTCTTCACAGCAACCTTAGGAGGGTACATACAAACAAGGATCAAGTTTTCACCAAACGTCACAGTAATGTCATAGCAAGTGAAGGCCTTGTCCCCTGTCACAATGACTCATCCGTTAGTCAAGTAAGCACCCCCTGTCGTCTCCTGGTCAATCCCAGAAAGACATTATGTGTTTCATAAGGCATGACTCGCATATTTAATTCCTGTAGGTGTTGTAAGGCATGACTCGCATATTAAATTCCTGTAGGAGTTGGATAAGGCATGACTCGCATACTAAATTCCTGTAGGTGTTATATAAGGCATGACTTGCAAATTCGATTCCTTTAGATGTAAGAGCATTAGCATTCAGCCACACAGTATCTGATAGGGTTTGAACTGTAAACCCAGCGGTCTGTCAGCCTCAACTGCGGAGGCCAGTGCTGTAAGAGCCCACATGTAGGCATTTACAAACCCTTCCCCAGCACCTCTCCACCCCACCCCCACGGCCTGGCACGTGCTTGGGCATTCTTGATTTGAGTTTGACACCATCTTTCAAGCAACTAAAAAAAAGTTCAGATACAACTTCAGTATTGCTCATTTAACAGCAAAGCAAAACAATTTTGCTTTTCCCCCAGTCTTAGGATTTTGATATGTTCCAAGCAACTGTTACGGCACCTCAACTATTCATTCACCCACATGAGGATTTACCATCAACTTTTACATTTTCTTTACGAGGTATTTAGTTTGCAAATTGTTATTCCCATCAATCCACATCCCTTGCCGGCACCCCCAATCCCTCAACCTCTGGCCAAGACCCCAATGCCAAGCTGAGCCCTGCTCTCTCTCTGGCAATCCCACCTCCGGTGCAAAAGTATTCTGAAGCCTGACCCAGCAGAACTCCAGTTAAGATGGACGGCGAAGTTTTAGATGACACCTGTGATCCCAGCAGGGATGAGAGCAGAGGCCAGCCTGGTACACACAGCCAGCCCCCAAGTCGGAATCCCTCAGTGGGGTAACACCTGCCTACCACCCAGTACCAAAACCAAAGCCACAGAACAAGATTCCCAGGGACCACCATTCCCTTCTAGGTACCAGATGCTATCCCAATGCCCAAATTAGATATGCCATCTACAAATCCCCAAAAACCTTGCGGCCAGCTTGTACCCTCCCGTACTTTTAAGAATGCAACACCCCACCCATGTAGCAATTGGCTTCATCGAATACTCTTCCACTTCAGTCATTTAAAATTGAACAGCGTTCCCCAACACCCCAAAGTTTCATCACACTTAGGAATGCCTCTGACCAATGCAGAGGCAGGCAGGCTGCAGAAGCAGGGAAGGTGTCGAGGTCACTGGGCTCCTCTGCAAACACCATCTACAGGGCACCATGCTGTGCTGAGTGTTCTACACCTTACACAATCTTCTCGAAGCCAAGTTCGTAGCACAGAACTAAAGACTGGAGGCTTGATCTAGAAGATGCTGCAGCTGAATGCCTCTACCTCCGGGAAGGGGGGTGCTGGCTGGCATTCATGCCTCTGGAGAATGGTGCTCCCAGAACAAGACATTCATCCGGAACATTCACAGCCGACAGCCACTCCGGCAGGAAGCGTCTGCCCGTCCCCACCCCCAGAAGCTGGTCTGAACCACTTAAAACGACGGCTTTTTGAACACAGGGCTTCCTGAGTAAGGCCCGGACACATGGCAGTGCAGAACTTCCTAAGCCTCTGGAATTCACTGGATAGGCATCAACTTAGGTCGCTGTCTCCTCCAGGGTCTGCCCTCCTGCACTGCTAGGACTCACTGGCAGGGGGTCCATTTCTCCTGGTGCCATCTGCTTGCCATGATGAACACTACAGTAATAAACCACGTCCATGAGGCATTTGGGTGACTGGAGCCATGGCTGTGAGCCCACCCGAGGGTCCACATTCAAGCCCCACCCCCTGCAAATCAACACCAACCCTCCCCACCCAGTCAGGGTGTCCTCCACTTTTACCAGAAATACCAAGATAGAGTCCAGGACTCCAACACCAACTCTCTACCTTACCCAGGCTTACCAGATGACCCAGAGGCAAGGTTTTAAGTGAACCCATAACCTCAGAGTTAGAGGGAAGAGAGGGGGAAGAGAGATCACAGAAGAGGGAACCACGGAACCTAGGAAAGTCCAGGGGGGTACTGCCACCTGAAAAATAAAGCTGTGATCAATGTGGCCCCAAGACGCGCGCCTTCAATCTCGGCGGCCCCCGCCAAGCAGGCCTGTCAGGTGAAGACAACTCCCTGCCTCTACACTCCTCGGCCACCCCTCACACCCAGGACCAAATTACATACCACCCGGGGCCAGAGGTGTCCGCCCCGTGAAACTCAGTCCTTTCCATAAGACCAGGCCTCATCCCCGGGCGGGTTCACAACCCCTATCTGGAAAAAAAGGGTCTGCTGGTATTGTCAAGTTCAAAGTTGATCCCCACTGCCCACCTAGCCCTGGGCCCTCTGCCTGTCCTTCATGACATCCAGGGCCTCAAGGGCCCGGGTCTACCTGACTCACCACCTGCTCTGCCACTCAAGCTAGAACCCTGGGCCTACGAGGGCCCGTGGGACCTGTGCCCTCCTGGAGGTCAAGTGCCCCCACTCCTACAGACCGCAGGGCCAGCCTGGCCTTGAAGGCAGCTGCCCCTGTGTGGCCTGCTGAAGGCGCTTTGGAAGCTGCCATCCCCAGGACCACCGTGCCCACACCTAGTCTCTCTTTCGGTTAACCGCCCTTCTCCCTCCCCCATGCCAGCGGCTGCCCCTGCCAGCTCTCTCTCCGAGCCCTGAACTAGCCACGTCCTCCCCACCACTGAGACCAGAGGGCAGCCCTCCTTGCCACTAACTCCTGCTGGAGGTGGGGAGGGCACAACTTTGGCTTTTATAGCCCTGGGTCGTGTCACCCAGCCATTGCTCAACGGGGCGATTCCTCCACGGACACTTCAAAAAAAAAAGTTCCTCCCCGACCTAGCCAAAGGAGCCCACGAGGGGCGTGGACGGCTCCCATCGACGGCCACTCCCTCTGGTTGCCCCGCGGTCCTTTTCTGCCCCTCGGCAGGGCGTCCCGGGATGGAGGGCACCTCTGACGGCTTCCAGAGGGTCGTGGGGTGGGGGGTGGGGGGGTGGCGGGGGCCACACCGACTGGCAGGGCGGAAGTTAAAGGGCAGGTCACCTTGGGTCACCACGCCCCGCAGAGGCCCGAAAGAAGGGCCGGCAGAAAGAGCGCCTGGAAAATTCCATCGGGTGGCGGAGGGATCTCTGCGGCGGCGGCGCCGGCGGC